ACGTACCAACACAGAGATGAACAACAACGACACAAGACAAACAGCACCCCCTCTTCCCTCTGGACACAGAATGAACGCCACACACCATAACCCCATGAATCTCAATGAGACATGACCACGACACACGACAGAGACACACACGAGACAGCTCACCAGAGGCAACCCTCCCACTACTGGACTCATACGCCGTGAACCAGGGCGTATCCCTACCAAGTAAGATACCCACATGAATAGCTTTTCAACTGAGAAAACCTAATTTAACAAGCAACGTGAGACGTGACACTTGCCAGGTATACATAATCCACTCCCAAAATAAAAACCGAATTGTATACCCCGTTGGAACACATAACACTGTAATCCACCGCAAATAGGCTCACACCCTACTACAAATATTGAATGATCTGAAACACGCAAATGTTATTACAACTATGTTCATTGTATAAACATGGTGCAACCTTCACCTGCCATAACGCTGTGATCAACTCGTTGAGTAGTCAAACTCCGCTTAAATGGCATACCTGCATACATGCTCCTTAAGCCTAAACCATCACATGCTCTGTAAACTAACTGATACCATGTTATAATATGTTACTCATGCACTCTACATTTACTGTAACCTTCTTCATACTGTCTTGTTATGCCAATTTAAAACAAAATAAACATTTTTTGAATGAAAAAAAATAAATAAATGCCAGAATGAATATGCACAGATACTCCATTAAATACCACAAAGCAGAATCGTACTGCACTCCCGTGGGACACGACTTTACCCAGCCTGGCCACTCAGTGAAGGACCTTAACATCAAAGTACTGAAAGGGTGTATTAAATACACAAGAAACACAAAGGTTTGAAGCCAGAATGATCAAATTGTTTAACAGCAAGAATAGAGGACTAAATATTGATTTGGGTTTCCTGTCCCACTACCAACACTTTACATAAACACTCCCCCGTTATCTTACTTTTCTGTCATATGTATCAACATTTTAAAATACACCACAATATGTTTATTCTATCAATATACGTGTGTGTATATGTGTATGCTTAAATATGTGACTGTGCATTTAGATTTGTGTATATGAGTTCATGTGCATGTATGTATATGTGTTTATGTGTTTTGCATATACAAATATACACATGTGTATGTATGTATAAAGTGTACCATCTTCTGCACTGTGCTTCTTTTTTGGGAGGCTCTCCCAAAAGCTTGTCATTAAAAAAATCTGTTAGCCCAATAAAAAAAGGTATTACATGATACAAATTTTCTGTTTTTTTGTCTTTTTTGTTATATTTTGTTGATATTTTACAGGCATTCAACAACACAGGATAACCTATGGCCAAAACTACCATAACTTCATGCTATCATACCAGACAAGAATATACTCAAAGGTTTTCAGGAATCCATTCCCCCACATTCCTCTCAGAGATTACCAATAGCCATCCAACTTTTCCATCCTAATCAGATCTATTAGAACTACAACCATTCAATTATACTACCAAGTCGGCCATTACCAGCCATGCACACTGCCTTTTATTCCTTTTTCAGGCCAGAGAATACACTACCATAACCACCACTCAGACAGATCATTGTCTTCAACGATCCCACGTATGTAAACACATATATCATTACCTATTGGCTCTACCACATTCCGAAACGAGTCAACACGCACCAACAGTAGAGATAACATACTATCCTACCCACAACAAATGGTGTCCAGTTGCAGTCCTAGATTCCTACCTTCAAAATCCTTCCAGGAATTAAATACCGTAATGCATTTAAGGAAATGTCTGGTTAATTTGTATATATTGTTGACTGTATTAAATCTTTGATTATTCTTTTTTGCCCTCTTTATTTACAGGCCTACCGTATCGTTGGTCTTGGCACACCACAACCGACTTGCTCCCTTTATACTATCCTACGCTTATGCTGGAACCTTACTCCATATATGGCTATTTGCCCCTTACACAAATATATTATAGAAGAAAAGTGCACTCACAGATCTTTGTAGATTAATATAACCCCTTTATTGTGTCAAAAAGATACACCTCAATTCTGTTGATGTTTCAGTCCAACACAGGACTTTTTTTCAAGGTGTGAATGCCCAAATGATCGTTTAAATAGGAGAAATACATGTAAAGTAGCAGGGATTTGTTATGTAAAACAATGTTGTGGTGTGTCAAATGTCGTGAATGAATAATACCCACATTCACTCATCATAAAGCGAATCTCTGGTGTTATCCATATAAACTATTCTGTATTTGAAGAGAGAAAATTAAATAACATAATATATAAGTAATATGAGAGATATCTAAAAGTAAATGTCAAAAATTGTGCAGAGCTGGAGATCGTGGGGCATGTCACATAAACAACTACTATATCCACAAAGTGTAAAATAAGCCTAAATTATCTCAATATAGAAAGAACATCAAAGTATGTACAAAATATTTACACTGTTGCCAGACATGTGTTGTAACAAATCAACAGAAGATACAATATGAGTAATGCAACAGGCATAACAAGCATAGTCCATCACAATACTGCTAACTTGGAATGTGTCGGTTTGTCTCCTAAGGGCACATCAAAGTCCTATATAGATGCCGCTGCAAAGTGCAAAATAAATCTATAATAAAGCAAAATACGGGGTAAGCAAGGTGTGTGACCAATAGGTCTCTGTGATCATTGCTGCAGCAAAGTTTGCATAAAAATTGGTCTACTGAAATGTTGCGGCACCTAAATTTCCCAGCTACAAGAAAGGAAAAAATGTTTTTTTAAAAATAGATTAGGGTGGAGTATTTATGGTTGGAGTACTATTATAGGATTAAAGAGAGATGGGTTAGCATTAAGGTAATTTAAGGTTAAGGAGGCTTAGATTTAGAACTGCAGTTTTTCTAGCCTGTAACAGGGAAATTGGCTCAAATCATTGTGGGGAATTTGGTTTCAGTAAATAAGTTTGTGAATAGCTGCTTTGACAATCTTATATAAATGATCATCTTACTTTAGCCAAATCATCAGTGTAAATTTATTTTAAAATATAAAAATTTACCATTTGTGAATATCATGATGAAATAAATTTCATTAAGACCGCTCTAGTTTTATAATCAAATTGTGCTTTGCTGCTCTTTTTTATTAAGGGGAAAAGTAAATAAATAGCAGTTCATTTTAATTGAGGGAAAGCACTTTTGATGATTTGCCTTGATAACGTTTTAAACAAAAACGCTAGACATATTTGTGTCTGATGTACTCAGTTTGTTGACAATGCATTTTAAGTCCCTAGAAAGTAAATAAAGTTATAAAGATTTTTTTTCAGATTGACTGATTTATGCAACAGGTTTGTGACCAAGGCCTTTTTTTGGTGCTTTAAGAATATAGATACAGTGTCCCAAATCAGATGCTCATACTGTCGCTATGTATTGCCTCCATTTAAAAATATTCCATTATTTTTGCTGCAAAAAGTGTATTGACAAATAGATTCACACAGAATTATGAAGGACACCATGCACTGAAATCAACGCGTTTCGTATAAACAAACATACTTCCTCAAGATCAAAGGTTGTTACATTGTGGCAAGGTTTTATGGGAAAATGGCTAATTGCCAAAAAAGAAAAAGCTATAAACCAGCCCAATTATACAATTATTGTATCAACTGTGAACTAAGACTAACCACTTAACCCTCACATTGTGTTAAACAGGACAACATTGCTGAATCAAGTAAAGTACACATCAACATATTTAATAATTTTGCAGACCAAATACATATGTTTAATTCATCAAAACATAGCCATTAAATAAACCAATGAAACAAAGATTTTTTTTTAATCTAATGAGAAAATAGACAACAATGAAACATAACAACATTTAAAAAAAAAAACACAACTATCCAAATTTACTAACCCAGCAAAGAGTTGACTAACCCATCTTATTTATGTTGAGCATACATACATACATCACCCAAGGCTTTTATAGTCAACTAAATATCATACCTTTGTAAATTTCTCATAAAGACATGTTAAAGAACTTTATGCTTCACAATCACAATTATAAAATAAGTCATTAGTATTTTTAGTATTAGTATGCAAATCAGTTCAAAACTCTTTTGACATGTGTTTTTCTGGATTTATTTTTGTTATTCCTCAGTTGCTACAAAAACAAACTAACTGGAACAGTTGTTTATCAAATGTGTCGGGTGATAACTGTCAGTCCATAAAATTGTACTGGCATCAGTACTTTTCCTATGTGTATAGGACTAAATATTACCTACAATATTACATGAAAATAACTGATAACGTTTGGTTTATTCTCCATAGTGAACTTAAAATTTACGGTATTGTTATTAGCATATTTAAAACATTTTTGGTATGTTTGACTCAGGGCCACAGACACGAAAAGCAAATCATTAAAGGAGCACTATAGGGTTAGGAACATAAAGATATTTCTGACCCTATAGTGTTCAAACCACCATCTAGCCCCCCTGGCCCTCTCTTGCCTCCCTAAATATAGTAAAAGCTTACTTGTATTCAAGCCTGAAGCTGCTGGCTCTGCCCCTGTCTGCATCAGAATAGCAAGCTGTCTGCTGACATCATCAGAAGTGTTGTTCTGAGCTAATCACAGGGGCAGAGCCAGCACAAGTCAAACACAGCCTTGGCCAATCAGCATCTCCTCAGAGATGCATTGAATCAATGTATCTCTATAAGGAAAGTTCAGTGCCTGCATACAGAGGGAGGGCATACTGATATGTTGTAATGCATACAATGCAAGACTGAGATGGAAAGCAGCTCTAGCAGCCATCTGAGGAGTGGCCAGTGTTATCACTGGGCTGTAATGTAAACACTGGAGCACAGGGCCCTAGATGGGACATAGATGGAATCAATGTTTTTGAGATGGAAGCAGTAGGATTTGGCGATTGATTGGACATGAGGGGTGAAGGAGAGGTCAGAGTCAAAGAGAACACCTAGGTAGCAAGCCTGCGAGGTAGAGCGGGTGGTAGCGCTATTGACTTGGAGGGAAACAGGCAAGGGAGTAGCAACACTTGAGAGAGGGAAGACCGGTTAAGTTTAAGGTAATGAGCAGCCATCCAGTTAGAAATAGCAGAGGGGCAATCAGAGACATGACTCAAGAGGGGTGGTGAGAAATCAGGGATAGATAGATTTGCATGTCATCCCCATAGAAATGATACTGGAAGCCAAAAGAGCTGATGGGTTTACCAAGGGAGGTAGTATAGATGGAGAACAATAGGGAACCAAGGACAGATGCTTTGGGAACACTAACAGAGAGGGATTGGGGAGAAGAGGCAGAGCCAAAGAAAGAAACACTGACGAGAGGTAGGAAGAGCACCAGGAGAAAGCGATATCTCATAGACTGAGATACCGGAAGATGAGAAGAAGCTGCTGCTGATCAACAGTATAAAAAGCAGCAGAAAGGTCGAGGAGAATTAGGATAGAGTAGTGGCCACAGGATTTTGCAGTGACAAGATCCTTGGATACTTTGGTCACAGCTGTTTCAACAGAGTGGCGAACACGGAATCCAGATTGAAGCTAGTCAATCTGAGAGTTGGATTCGAGGAAGTCTGTCAATCTCACATACACAACTCCGTAAAGGATGTTGGTGGAAAATGGGAAATAGGGCGGTAGCTGGACGGGGGATTAGGATCAAGGTTGGGCTTTTTCAGAATCCAGGTTATGGTTGCATGTTTGAAGGGTAGAAGAAATGTGCCAGAGGAGAGGTAGAGATTGAAAATTTTAGTGAGAGGCAGAGCAAGAGAAGGAGACAAAGTGCGGATGAGATATGAGGGAATAGGATTGAGGGAACATTTGTTATTTCCCCACACTTAAATATTATTTAAGGAGGAGATTAAATATAGTTTCAGGCACTATGAATTGGCAAGAAGTGACTTTTGTAAATATGCATTTTTCTGCAGGCAATCCAGTGCTCCAATACACAATTCAGTACATGATTCCAGTGCTACAGTACTGTTTTACAAGTGTCACTTATTCAATCTAGTTTTTTAATTGGAGACTGCAGATGTTACTTGATCCAGACATTGAATCTTTTACTCCTGTCAGGGCATATAAGGCAGTATGGAAACAAAGCAGGACTTTAAGCAATTAGATAAATATGTTTGGCGAATCATAAATATTTGTTTTATTCTCACGTCTATTGCTTTTTTTTTTTTTTGCCAACTATTCTTTGCTCCCTATGATTTAATTATTCTTTTGCTCCCTGCGATTATGTGGACTGATCACATTTATCAAATATACAGAGTTATTGATTGCTTAAGTCACTTGTGCTGGGGATGTAACTAGCCCTAGCACAATAATAAAACTAACTTTCAATGTGCAGTGTTTCAAGCAGAAACACTGCGCATCCAGACTCCTACGACCATAATCAATTAAATCAAGTGAAGTGGTCATGGTGGTTGGAGCAACGCTTTAATGAGAAGTATTTGTCTGCCTCTTAAGTTTAGCCCCACTGAGCCAAACAACTAGAAAGTAACAGGACTGGTTGTCTGATTGACAGCTAAAATGGTGTAACAAGGTTAATTTTATAAAAGTGCCAATTTCTGTTGAAATCTGCCCTTCTTGTAAAATGAAATAAAGAGGACACACTATTCACTTATAAAGCACTTAAGCAAGATAAAGTGCTTTATGTGTGTCAAGTGGAACTTTAACATGCCTTAAATCTTCACCCCCATCTACTAAACCCCAGTCTGGCAAGGGTATTTAAACCAGGGGATTGTTAACAAAGGTGTTACTTCATTGATGTATATATACTAGGGTCATTGGTGAACGTTCATACATTGGGAAGTGACTGCAACTCATGAAATGGCTAGGAACTAAAAGATCACTGCTACATTGTCAAAATTTACAGACTTTCAGCTGTTTGTAATGAACAAATCAAACAAAAGCAATTGAAATAGCTCAAAAAAATGAATGTTTCAAGTGGTTTCCCTAAATTGAACTGATTATGCAACTTCTAATGACTTCTCCAGGGGAAATTATTCAAACCCTGCATAGAAACCCTCACAACAGAAAAAATATGCAATACTATTGTTGTCTTAAGCACACAAAATGCAACTAATCAAGGGCTTCATTAGATGCACTAGGTGTGCTTGAGCTGGAACACTTGAAATATCTGAATTGGCTAAGGGTTTGTTAAGTGTCACATTTGACTGCATGTTAGAAATAAGAATGGTCCAAAGAATGGTCCACAAAGTTATGAGAAGAGATCAGTGTAGCGGATGGCCATGAGCTGCCCTGGGACTTACATTATGTTTAAACTGTATTCGTCTATTTGCTAAATGTCTATGCAGTAAGGGAATGTATTTGTGTAAAATAGCTAAGTTCTATGTGTAAAATGTATTGGATTCGTCTGAATGTAAGGTAGTTTCATTCCCTTAGTTTGTTCGAATGAAACTACCGAACAGTCAGACCTCCCTGTGTGATGTGTGCCTTCAATTACCTGTTGCAACATTGTTGCGAACAGGTAATTGACAAGCTGTGTAGCAATCCTTTGTTCCCAGGGGTGGCCGCCATTCGAGAAACGAACACGTGGCAGTGGCCATCTTAATTTCCCGAACAGCGGTGTTTTGCCGTCGAGTGTCTGGAACAAAAAATGGACACTCGATTAGGCGAACACCGCTGAGACCTCCATCAGCCCGGTCCGTTCGGTTCCAAACTACCGAACGGCCCCTCGTTCGGTAGGCATAATCAACCGAACGAGGGGATTCAGGCGAACCCTCCCAAGCCTCTATAGCTGGAGGCTTTCAGGTACTGCATTCGCCTTTTCCAGGACCGACCGCAGGGCCCCATCGCATGGAGCCCACTTCGGCTAGTTCATCCAGCATAGTCGGTCATTTTATTCCCTCCAGGAAATTCCCGAACCCCTGGTCTGATCTGGGTGATTTTTGGATATGTTGTTCACCCAGTTCAGGGCTACCAGGGGATGTATAATTTAAAGGGGTACCCCTAGGTTTAGGGGTACTTCCAGAAACGGGGGGAATTGCTGTACTGGATAAGGGGATTATGATGCAGGCTGAGGGGAGGAGATGTGTGGGAGGTTACCGGGACAGGATTGGCTACTGTATTAATGAATGGAAATCCCTCCCTTGCATGGGAGCATGCTATATAAGGCACTGTGGTATAAAGGTTGTCAGTTCTGCTCCTGAAACTGTGTGTCGTCCAGTTATTGGGATTGCTGTTGGGATACTGCTGTGTTATTTTGCCTGCTGGAAACCTTGCCTGTGGATTTACAATTTACTTGTTCCTGAGCCTCACTGGGATCTTAAGTGGAGATAGCCTGGGGAATATTGTATCTCCGCTACAATCATCACCCTTCACAAACAAGGAACAGGATAGAAAAAGATAGCAAATGGGGGGCATAACTAGCTACGGGCCAAAGCAGATGCGTAGAATTAGAGCTCCTGGGAAATTTCGATTTTACCCTTTAATTTCAGAATAGAAGGGCAGGAAACTGAGCAATACCTATCTCATGACCACCATGGTAAGAAACAGCAAGTCTTTCAGGAGCAAATCAGCTCCTGTGTAAAAAAAAAAAAAATAGAGGGGAATTACTGAGAGTAAAACCGCAGCAGAGACCTGTCAACATGGCCCTTGCACAGAAGAAAGCGACACTGAGATTTCTGGCAGTACCAAAAGGTTCAAGAAAGGCCAAAAGGCCCAACTCGGACCTAGACGGACAAACCCTTAAGGGACTGACATACAAGAAGTCCACTGCCAATACAGTACGAAACCAATCAGATGTATTAACGAACACCTAAGGCACACCACTGTAAGAACCACTATGAGTGTTACACAGACGACCACAATGACGGTGAAACTGCCGGGAGGAATTTAGGACCGCACTAGGTTAATGGTTTCATATGATACATAAACGTAAAACGCATTGTACGGAATTAATTTTTGTTCATGTTTGACATTGGGACCGGAAAGGCCCTACAAATTGGAAAACAACACCAAGAAGCACACTACAACCAGTATACCTGATATACCTTTAAATCTTCTCTGTACAATGAATTGCATTATATGTTGATGACAGGCCCCTGTGCGGGCCACTTCATGTTATTAAGTGGCACGTGGTGTTGAAGCAAAAATAAAGAATTAAAAAAAAAAAGAAAGGCCAAAAGGACCCTATTCAGGCTCTGGAATTTATACTGGCAATCAAGACTGATATAGAGAATCTCCTGCGGGAATTCAAGGCCCTCTTTGCTGCAGATTTCAAGCTAGTCTGGCAGAACATTTGCCATATGTAGGCCCGCGTGCAGGCAGTGGAAGATGTGAGCAGCACTGCACAGACCAAGCAGAGCAAGTCAACATGGTCCATGAGAGCAAGATGGCAGCTCTGGTGGACTCCAGGTGCCAACGTAACCTCAGAATCACAGATCTTCCTGAGGAGTTGGATGAGAACAAATTACAATCCATATTTTCGAATTATTTGGGCATTAAATTGGCTCTGAACCAGTTCTTTCTGCTGTACGACGTTATTTCTAATGGTATGGGCTCATAGCAGCTCCCACAAGTAACATGAACAGTCCATATGATTATATTCAAGATTAATATAATACTGTGGTTTGTATGCCTTTTACAAACTCTACCAAAAAGTACCCCACACACTCCTTTTTATCATTTCCTGAAACACTGAGTGGTTTACTTAGGAAACAGTGGATTGTGATGAATTCAAACCCAAATTTCAAAACTGGGCTAAATAGTCAATTTGTGGGGGAAAATAATGTTTTTCAGCTCAAATACTTTTGCCTGATTTTCATGATTCCATTGTCAATTTATCAAAATGTGTTTCTTAATGAATAAACCCACGTTTTTCTAAATTAATTTTGCACAGATGTGAACATATCACATTTCACTAAGATTTCCAGATATATCGAGTTGACTCATATCTATAAATATTACCAAGCCAAATATATATCTCAGCTAGTCTGGCAATACTCCTGATAAATTGAGAATAGAATGTATTTGGTGTGGTTGAATTTACCTTTGTGGACAGAGAGAGCTACAAATAGAACTTCTGTACCTCAAGTCACTTATTTCACTGAAGCCAAAACTGCCAGACCTCTCCATAGCTACCATTTTTAATAAGCCATCATTCTAGAATCAATTCATTTTTTACCAGTTCTTTCATTGCCTTGTGATGAATATATTGTCTTTAACGTTCAGAATACAGCTATATAACTTGAAATATATGCCATTTGCTATACTGGAAGACATAGATCAGATATATTAATATGAGATATATTTGTATTATGCACATATTTGTCCATTCTAGTTGTGGTTCAATCACCAACTATACAGGTGTGTTATTTCACTGATTCACCTTTATATATCAGACCACTTATTAGAGGCTTCTGTCCTAGGGCTTGGTTGTGCTCCTCGGTAGATATTATTTGGCCTTACCTGCACCTTTTATTGTCTATGTGGTGACTATTACATGTTTCCTTTAATTCTTATAAATGTCTTAATGGAACACTATAGTCACCTAAATTACTTTAGCTAAATAAAGCAGTTTTAGTGTATAGATCATTCCCCTGCAATTTCACTGCTTAATTCACTGTCATTTAGGAGTTAAATCACTTTGTTTCTGTTCATGCAGCCCTAGCCACACCTCCCCTGGCTATGATTGATAGAGCCTGCATGAAAAAAAAACAGGTTTCACTTTCAAACAGATGTAATTTACCTTAAATAATTGTATCTCAATCTCTAAATTGAACTTTAATCACATACAGGAGGCTCTTGCAGGGTCTAGCAAGCTTTTTAACATAGCAGGGGATAAGAAAATCGTAATTAAACAGAACTTGCAATAAAGAAAGCCTAAATAGGGCTCTCTTTACAGGAAGTGTTTATGGAAAGCTGTGCAAGTCACATGCAGGGAGGTGTGACTAGGGTTCATAAACAAAGGGATTTAACTCCTAAATGGCAGAGGATTGAGCAGTGAGGCTGCAGGGGCATGTTATATACACCAATACTGCTTCATTAAGCTAAAGTTGTTCAGGTGACTATAGTGTCCCTTTAACCCCTTAAGGACACATGACATGTGTGACATGTCATGATTCCCTTTTATTCCAGAAGTTTGGTCCTTAAGGGGTTAAACTTTACAAAAAAAAGTTACTAAAAAATCTGTTGCTTGTACATATTCATATCCCAACCAAGTTTCACCTTCTTTTGGATCCACTCCCTTTCAAATATGCCTGCATCCAATTATTTTGAAGACATAGTGTCCTAATATTGAAATCATAAAACTTTTAAAACTCATGGGGCAAAATGTACTTTAACCCCTTAAGGACACATGACATATGTGACATGTCATGATTCCCTTTTATTCCAGAAGTTTGGTCTTTAAGGGGTTAAATATGAATAAACATTTCAGAGATATTCTGCAGAACTAAGGTTTGGAATGGTTACAAAAAAAAAGGCAAAACAAGTTATTTATTATTATAACAATAAAAGCAATAGCAGTATACAAGATAGGGCTAATGCAGATAATATAAGATACAGTTTATTTAAGAAAGCTAAACATGGGTTGCATATTTCCTTAATCTAAAGTACTATTTTGCAATAAAGCCTCAACAGCTGCATTCAGTTTTACTCACTTGCAATTTGGCAGTAGATCCGGGAATAAGAAAATGTTACTGTAGCAACAAAATTATTTTAAAGAAAAAAAATATAGTATTAAAGGATTAATATTCTACTCCATGTCTTTATATTGTTCAGGAGGTTGATGGCATAAATGAGGGGCTCAAAAACCTAGCTGTTATGTTCCAATTAAATACATAAGAGATTTGGAGCCTCTTAGGATCTAATTAGTAATTCACATCCTTAATGTCTTTTTAAAATACTATTATTATTATTATTATTATATGAAATTGTTCGTTGATTGTTTTGCCCATTATGCCTCAATACCATACATCCCCCTCAAAAAAATGTATATAGCGTGTAGGGATGACACAATGGATGTCCTGCTTCCTCGACACCCACAATATTCAAGAGAGAACGCTTAGCGTAGGGGTAGGCAACATTCAGCACTCCAGATGTTGTGGACTACATCTGCCATAATGTTCGCAAAGCCATAATGCTGACATAGCATCAGGGATGATGTAGTCCACAACATCTGGAGTGCCGAAGGTTGCCTACCCCTACTTGCTGCTTTACCCATCATCCCTGGGACTTGTGCAATGATCCCTATGAGGAAGGCTGGATGCCGAAACATTGGGGTGTTTGTGAGTCTCTAGCTCTGGGTAAGTATACCCTAAGCATTTATATATTGTGGATTAGCAGTGAGCACTTTAGTGCCTGGGTACATGTGGTTATTTGCATGATTTATTTCCTATATATATGCACTTTATATTTGTAGGTGTATTTTATCTTGTTTGTTGAATTAAAAAATATTTTCTTTGCAACATTATAAGGTGTACCTTTTTTGCTGCATTTTTTCACTAGGGTATATTTAAAAATAGCTGCTATACTCAGCATTTACAAGTCCTCCACTTTTCCCCAGCCCAGACTTTCTGTGCCTGTCCAATCACAGACATCCCAATAGAGCTCAATGAGAAGTCTTTGCAAGGCAGGTGCTCTGAGCAATTGCTGCCTCCTGAGTTTAGCTCTGCCCAGCTAACCAAACCAGGAAGTAACAGGACCTGTCTGACAGTCAGTGTGTGTAACTAGGTTTATTTATAAAAGTGTACATTTCTATTGAAATCTGCACTTGTTTGTAAAATTGAAAAGAAGAGGACACATTCTTCACACATAAAGCACTGCAACAAGCTAAAGTGCTTTAGTTATTTTGAGTACTCCTTTAATGCTTTCAGGCCATACAAATCCAAACAAAGACATCAGTGTGAATTTTCCAGGGACATAAACCCGATTTTTTTTTTTAACAATTCAACAGAATAATTGAATTTGACGTTGTCTACTTATATATTTAACACTTATTTACACATAGCTTTAATGTCTAACAAGATTTTTCCTATTACAGCTCTACGGCCCCAGCCAAGCCAGGAGGAGCAGGACCAAAGACACCATTCCAACTAATTTAACTAAGTGGTGAGTTGAATGATTCACACTATTACCACCACCACTACTGCAGCACCTTGAAATACATATGCCAATAAATATTGGACAGCATCCAATTTACAGAAGGAGGCACGCTCAAGGCATGGACTGTCAGTTAACTACAACATTCCTCATGATGGCCAAGTCATTCTTTTTCCAGCACTGGAATCCCAGAACATATATGTATATATCATCTGTATAAGAGTAGAATAGATAAGATAAATAGATAGATTGATTCAGTGATTTGAAGTGGTCATGGTGGTAAGAGTCAGTATAAGCAGTGATTCTGCTTGAAACATTGCACTTAGAGAGAGATTTATATTTTTGCTGTGCTGGGGGCTAGTTGACATGACATTGGCAGCCCAGAACTCTGTTCCTAGCTACCTAATATCAATTTTGTTCATAAATTACATCTCTTGTCAGCACGCACTGCACACTGACAACAGACATGAAAATCTTTCCTTGCAGATGTAGCGCTTGCAAGGCAAAACTCCCTGCGCATTGTTTTGTTTTTGTCCACACCCTTCCTCCACTTCCCTCACCAACCCGGAGAAAGTGCATGCACTGTGAGCTGGAGACATGGTCCAATCACAGGCTTTTCTATTTTCATGTTTTACAGTGAATTGAGATGGGGGGCCTTCCCCATAATGGCATATTATGCCAGAAAGGTTCCACCCACTCAAAAGAGTTATAGTAACCCTTTAAATTCCCATTTTGTTTGCATTACGTCTCCGTGTGTTTATTAATGGCGTTGTGTCCACGTTTGCTAGGCTAATGTGGTGTACACATACAAAGCTGTATTTGTGTGGAAGATTAGTGTGTATATGTGTTTGCATAGGCAGTAGTATATGTGTGTGGATGAGTGTGAGTGAATAAGTATATATGTGTGGTACAGTTGGAGTGTGTAAAAGAAGGAGTATATGAATATTAAGGGCTAGTGTACATGTGTAAATGCAGGAGTGTATATGTGAAAGGCTAGGGATTGTATGTAGTGATATGTGCGCTAGGTTCTGTTTATATATGTTAATAATGTGTCTGGGATTATATGTCCATGTGAAGATGTAATATTTAAGTATACGTATGTGGAGTTTGGGTATGTAACAAATATTAACACAAACACACACATATAAAATCTGTTAGACACATATAAAAAACACATTTATGAACACCCATTCATATATATATATATACTGAGTGAGCTTTCTATATTATAAATGAAGGAAGCCTGAAGGAGATTTCAGAGTACTGATGATTGGTATTAACAGTAAGTATGAGTTCCATGTGCAGTTCAATCATACAGGCAGCATATGGACCCATATTACTGTCTGCAAGACTGAGAACTGTTTGCTCAGCCAGACTGCAATCCAATTTTTTTTCAGTTTTTGTCTGCTGAATACATCTGGAAAGTATTTGTTGTGTTTAATGTTTTTACAAACAATTGCCTCAATTTAACAATGTTGGATATGCTTTTGAAATCATTTACAGGGTTATTCACTAAAGTGAGAATTCAAAGTGAATTTCAAACTTAAGAACAAAGTAGCTAAACTGGAAGCATAGCTGTCTTGGAGAAATTTTCATTAAATTTTAAATTAATTTTGAATGATGACATTAGTGAATAACTCTGCTAATATTGTTGCCTACATTTTTAAAGTTATTTAATATTATGACAAATATTTTAATTCAGTAATGTGTTGATATTTTTATATTTAAAATATTTATTTTAAAGTTTATGTAAAAACAATAAAATTCAAAATCTTATCTAGCAACATTAAATCAAGACCACTATAACTTGCATTATATTGATATCTGCATGTTCTTCCCATATGATCCTTGATGAGATTCAGTCAAGTCAGCACAGGACTTTAAAAAAAAAAAATTCTATGGAATGGATCTCTGGATCACTCGGAGATATATGGCATATTCCTTAATGCATAGCCTGTTCCCTGCCTTTCTTGGTGTGGGTATATTGGTGTTGTTAAAATAAAACTATTGTTCAGATTATTCTGTTTCTTTTTTAAACATTCCTCATTGACCTCCTATCAAATATTGCCATAATCAACTAAAATGTACAATAAAATAAAACCTCTGACTCAAAATATTTTTTTTAACAATTATTTATTTATTAATTTTCATGCCCACTTTCATGACCATAATTCTGTAGATAAATACATAAATGTAACAAAGAATAAAACCGTTAATCATACAAACGGAGTTGTAAATTGATTGAGTGCAATTATCATGATCTTTGGGTTCGTAATGTAATTTTGTAGCATTATTAGAGTATTGTAGCTGTTCTGCGCAGCACAAACACTGTTTTAAAGCATCTCTGTCAATACCTTTTCTCCTCACATTAATTATCACTGGCCCACATTATCCTTTTGCCCTAGATCATTTATTGTAAAAAAAAGTCTTTTTCCTTTTTTTTTTTGCACAATGCTGGATCTTTATCATCAGTTCCTGCCATTTTCACTGCTCCAGTAATGACTTGGGTTGTTCAGTTTCCCATTCCCTTCTTTGCTGGCAACCCTAGGCATCCCTTCTTCATAGCTCATGTCATTAGATGAAGGAAACAACCTGAGCGTTTTCACAGAGGATGTATTCTGGGAAAATAGACTGGACAAAGGAAATGGAGCTTCAACTACGCTCTGCTTATTGTCAGGGTGTGTCAAGTACTGTTATCTACATAAGGAAAAAAAGTCTACTTTCTCTTGAGTATAAATTGAAAACTACAAAATATAAATTAAAAAGGCAGCATATGACAGACAGACATTGAAAGAATTGGTTCTATAAATGTAAGGCGAGGTGACAGAGCTGCTAAGGTTATAATGTTTTCTAGAACCCAGAATACTACCTCCTTGCCTTTAAAGACGCTTACACTTTCTGGGGGGGCATTGACTTGTACGCAAGCACTCACAGGCAACACTGGTCTTTTACTTCACTCCAAGTCCTGATAGACTTCTCTGTTGGAGATATGTTCGTTTTACAATTTTGTTCTCACTATGATCAGTCTATCAGGGATTCAATAATTTGTCTTCACATCGGATATACATAAACTTTTTTTTCTCCTCGTCATTTTTGTTTTACACAAATTGATTTTACGTTGTATTGCATTGTGGTGGTATATATATTTTTTTTTAGATAAGTATTTTGTCAGTTCATATGTTGGATTTGTATTAGGACATGTCAGTCGTCATATGTTTTCAAGTTACACAAGTTGTAACTTCAATGTGATTGTTTAAAAAAAAAAAAAAAAAACAACAGCATTTTTACACACACTAGCACACAAACCGATAAATAGATACACACTCATTCTTCCTAGGCATACATATAAAGGACACATAAATTCACACTTTTCCACACAGAGACACAAAGACACTCACATTTACACATAGATACACAGTGACACACCCAAACTCCACATACAGATATACGACACTGCCACACAGATATACACACACACTACCACACACAGACAGAAATATATGAATATATATTTTTAGCCATCCTCTTGTTTGCATACCTTTTGAGTGCATGAGGTTGCCTTCCCTGGAGTCTGATAAGAGTGATTCCTCTACTCAAAGCATCCATTGTGCACTGGGACAAAGTACCTGGAAATCACATCTTCTTATCACTGCCAGGCAAGGGAACAAGTACGCGGTTCTTTGTATATTGCTACCACATCCCATCTGAGACACATTTTTTTTTCTAAAGTAAACAGTCAGATTTTCATGTCACCATACCAATAATTAGATCTGAAAGTACATAACTGGCCCATGCATCTGCTGATTGCAATCGCACATTATTATCTATAATAATTACCAAGATCTTCTCATTTACAGTTGCCCTAAATTGAGTTATTAGTTGCTTGTGTGTTTCTCATCCCAAATTCACAACTTTGCATTTATTTAGATAAAATCTCACCTGCCCAGATCTCAGGTATCCATCTGTGGAAATTTTCTATTTGAGGGAACCTTTATATAGTATTCATATATATTTAAAGAATTATTTGTGGACAATAGGCCCCCTTCAATCCACTCCCCTTGTGTGTTTAAAAATTTATGTTTAATAAATACTACTTACCTCATTTCCAGCGTTGAGACTTCTCTGCAGTAGCCTCTAGCCAGGGCCGGAATAACATAGGGGCTGATGGAGCTGCAGCTCCAGGCCCAGGCCCAGGCCCATGGAATAGGCCCATTGATTTAAAAAATCTACTACTCTTAAGGTTTCCATCTGGCTGGTATTTTATTGGCACAGCCAGTATTTGAGGCTGCCTGGCCGTTGCCGATATTGCAGTCATACTGGCAATACAAATGCTGGTATTTTTCTCAGTATAAACAGAGATTACGATGCAGTACCAGCACTGGCCAGTAGGGATCACTGTGTGTGGAGAGAGACAGGGATAGGAAGTCCCAGCATATCTCTACCTGCTTATCTCTACTCACTGATCCACAGGGGAGCAACTACAGAGAGTCCAGACAGCAACTCCCACCCTGCAGAGACAGCCTACAGCTCAGAAAAGTGATGAATGGGGGGGAATGGCTGCAAGGAGACATACACTGAGACACTAAGGGACATTGGGAGACATTATGACACAGACACTGGGAACACAGTGTCCCCAGTGTTCCCATGTCTCCCAGCCAGTGTCCCTGGTGTCTCAGTGCCCCATAGTCTCCCAGTGTCTCAGTGTCCCCATGTCTCCTAGTGCCCCTATGTCTCCCAGTGCCCCCAAGTGTCTCAATGTACCCATGTCCCCCAGCCAGTGTCCCTAGTGTCTGTGTCCCTGGTGTCTCGGTGTCCCCATGTCCCCCAGCCAGTGTCCCTAGTGTCTGTGTCCCCATCCCTTCAAGTGTCCCCTATTTTCCCAATATCCCCATGTGTCCCAGTCAGTGTCCCCAGGTCTCCCCATGTTCCTAGTGACATGGGGACCCTGGAAAACATGGGGACATAGACACATGGGAATTTTGGGGGACACAAGGAGACATGGATCACTGAGACCTGGGGTAATTGACACATGGGGACACTGAGTCATGAGGACACTGAGAAACATGGGGTGCCCTCTGGGACACTGGGAGAAATCCATCTATACAGCAGAATCAAACCAAGTAGTTTTTGGGTGATTTTACAGTATTTTCTTTTATGTCACTCCTTGTGATTTACATCGTGTGATGTCACCCATACATAATTATGCAAATTAGTAAGGCCGGTATGTTTTTCCAAGAAAGGTGGCAACCCTAACTACTTTTCACGAACTCTTGCTTAAGTATAGAAACTTAAGAGGGATGGGAACAAAACTTGTGTGGACTGGCTGAC